CCAAAATTGGATAAATTTGCAAGGGGTTAGCCTTACATTTTGACCAAAAATTGACTTTTTCAAAAGTGCATCAAAACGATCATTGATGACCGACCATTCGTTTTAGGGACCAAGAGACATCATTTTTGCAAGTTTAAAGCAAAGTCCACAATTAAATAAACTTGCAAGGGGTAAGCCTCACATCTTAAGTATTCTCATACGACACAAAACGGTCTGCGAAACAAAGGTTTGACTTCTTGGCTGACGTTTCCTCGCTGCTGTTTTTATTTCATTTGTAATCAGAACTTCTGCAGTTTTACCGAAAAGCGGAAACACTTGCCCAAACTCAAATAACACAGTGCAGGTATGGTAAATACTTGCCAAGCTTGGCAGCTATGGGTCCAAATCCTTGGCATGCTTTCGGGCCATTGCAAACCGAGTTAACTTTAATAGCACTAGCACCACCAGAACAAGTAGGTGCTTGCCCAATGATGTTTATAATCCTGTAATGTCATTATACAACCATTCTGTCATATAATCACTATGCCACATGTCTAAAATACTAAAATGCATTAAAGAAAGGGCCGTTTTTTTCCCCACCGGCCACTAGCATGCACGGTTGGAATAAGCCCTACCAGAACGAGGGTGCCTGGCATATCTTTCCAAAGTTAAACTCAACAAATTAGAGGTAAACATGTTAAATGTAGTTTCAATATACATCAAAATTTCACTTGTGTATCACTGTACTTGAAATGATGCACCTGCCCTTCGCTCCCAGCCAATTCCTACTACCTAATGTAAATGTATTCCTCACTAGTTTATGGAGGCGAAGGGGAGCTGGCGATGCATGGGGATTTAATGTTGAGATGCAGCGGCTTCGGAAGGCTATGCCAAAGTGGCCTTGCCCAGTGGGAATTCAGCGTGCACCCCCCTTGCATGTTACTGCTATAGCTGTGAACCTCCTTGGCCTGATACCAAAAATCATACACGTCGGTGGTCAGGTGTTTGCATTTTTCGCAACATGTTTACTCTACCACGGTAACAAACAGCCGAGTGCTTGGCAGCAAACTGTGTGTCTGCCGAGCATAATGCATTTCATCTTGAGGTGATAAAATAGATTATAACCATTTTCACCAAAAATTGAAACAAAATAAAGGGGATAGCCTTCCATTTTAAAATTTCCTACAAAACTCAGTTTTTTTCGTTAACACCTCAGAAATGTATTTTGAGATAAATTTCACGTTCTAGATAATTTTGATGGAATTTAGACCATTTTCACCAACAATTGCAACGACAAGGAGTTAGCCTTGTGTGATGGTGGCCGCCGGGGATTCAGTAAGGGGGTTATGGGGTTAGTGACTTTCTTTCATGAATTTCATGTTTCCTGACACCTCTTGATAAAGTTAAAATTTTGACAAAAGGGGACTTCTCCTAAAAGAGCACAGAAATGTACTTCAAGATAAAATTCAGATTAAAACTTCAGTTATAATTTTGATAAAATATTCACCCAAAATTTAAAACAAAATTGCACGATATAGCACTTGCTGTTTAACTCAAGTTTTGTCAAAAAAGATTTTGAATCAATTGTTTCGATGCAAAATATAGACATTGGTTCTAACAAATAGCTGGTTCTGTTGTCAAGAGGAGATTAAAAGTAACACCATTTCTGGTCTTCAAATAACTCTTTAGACTGATAAATTGCATTTAACTATAGTATAAGTCTGTAGTTCTACCAAATACATGTAAAATGACTTGAAGGCAAACACCTCTAAAAGGCAAAAAGAATAACAACTGATATCCCCAAAAGCAGGACTTCCAGGAAATGAGACATTTCCCAGAAAGTGGTAAAGTGCATGTGTCAAAGTCTTCATTTACAGGTATAAATCACCAATGTCTCCATCTCCAATGTCAAAATGCTGGCATTCAAATACCAGCTTGTTTAAGAAAGGGGGGGCTGTTGAGGCATACTGCACAGACGTTTCCCTCCAAACAAGTTCTTCATCCAACACAAACATACAATCGCAAGTCACTGGAAACAGAAGTGTTATCCCACATCTTATTCATTTGCCCCCGAGTATTTTGACACTGTACATTTTTTGGGGGGGGGCATCATGTCTCTTTCTCTCTCGCAACTGCGTCTGTTGTCTCCTTTCCTTTTTGCTGCCTGTGTATCTGGCCTTCCTGTCGGAGTGTCTTTCGCTAGGTCCCCTGTCCTCTGTCATCCCTTCTGTCTTTCTCATCTTTTATTTATGGCGTGTCCCTGTCACTGGAGTGATGATCTTCTCAAGAGCTCCTGTGGTAGTGCTCATCACGGACATGTTTTGATGGATGATGTTCGTAGGAATCCCTATTGCGATCCTGTCTGGCGGGTTTGGATCAAGTGCATCTGTCTTCGTCAGAACTATCGTATCGCTGCTGCCCATAACCATTTTGGCTTCTCCCAGGATCTTGAGATGTCCTCTCTTTCTTGATGCCATGACCATGTCCTCTATCTGTACCTATCGTCGTGATGCAGCTTGTGGTCATTGCACGTCTTGCGTCCTCTCTCATCTTCAACTGCTCAAATCCCTTGTGTTTCCTCCGCATTCATCCCTGTCTCAACTGCTGCTCTGGCGCTGCCCACCGGCCAAGCCTCTCCTCGCTGCTGCCCATGTCATGGCTGTTCTTATGCAAAGACCCAGAATGTTTCTCCTCCATGCAGTTCAGCTTCCTAATCAATACACCACAAAAAAACAGGCTCACTTTCCAAGGAAGAGTTTTCTCAGCAAGGTGCCATATTTTTAAAAAAAAATTTATTTTCAAATCAAGCCGAAAGCAATCACAGGTTTTTCAGTTTTGCTTTGCCAACATATTCAATAAACACTGCACAGAAAACAGCACCGACAGCTGTGAAGAAGCACAGGTGTGGCACCTGTATTGCTCATGTGCAACCATTTCACCCTTACTTATAAAATGAAACAGCATCAGCCAGTCATGGGTAACAAGTCATGTAACATGAAGAGACTTCATTTCAAAGTTGCTTACTTGAGGAGGTTGCTCTTTCGTTTCTCGGTCAACAAGTTCAAGAAGGCCTCCTTGGGTCGAGGGGACCGTCATCAGAATCATCACCAATTAAATCCTATCAAGAAAAAAATGACCCAATAAGTAGAGCTTAAAATAAGAAAATAATAAAAAAGGGCTTAAAATGTATTACAAAAGCATTGAATGAATGAAAGGTAACTTCAAGCCCTGCGGGTTCTCAATTTCGGATAAGGTCGTGTCTGAATCACCTGGCTGTGGCTTGAAGTACAACACAACACAAGATATGTGCAAATCTGAATCTGCAATCAACAAAACGAGGGCAGTAAGAGGCATAATTATTGAGGTTTTTTTAGGGAGATGGGGAAAGAAGACGCCATCAATCTAGTTGCAGTTATCAGTATGCTAGGTAAAGGACTTCATTGTCGTGTCCCTAGGGTATCGCTTCAAAATGAAAAAAGAAACTAAAGATGGATTACACATTAGCGCCGTCTGCGCATATCTGCATCGAAACCGAGGCTCTCTGTGTTGAACTTCGTTGCGCGCGCCCGCGGAGTCGACACAGTACATGGAGTATCTGGTTCATAAGTGTGACGCCACTTTAGTTTAAACCATGCCCACTGCACAAGATACACGACCATAGCAGGTACGTTAGTTCGCGGTCAATTGTCGTTATTTTTTCTTTTGATTTTACGTGTCGCGTCATCCTGAAAGACTCTTCCACAAAAATTTGCAGCCTGGAAAGTCTGCATTTAACATAACGTTATGTATTTTGTGTCTTGACTCCTTACTTTCAATTGTCTGATCATATTAAGAATTGAAGCTGACACATACAGCCTCGTTTTCAAATGCGGAAGTGCGCAGGTCGACGCTAAAAGCGTTGTATTGGGATCCCTCTATTAAAAAGTGAAATGCATTTCAATTTTAGCACACGTTCTTGCTTCAACTTGCATCTGGACTATGGTTCCACATAAGATATTTGAAAATGTAGACACTCCAATTTCTCTTTTTCTGTGGACTGAAATTGTTGGAACTTTTGAATAAGTCGTGAACTTTTTTATTAGCAGTCTCATGCAACAAGGCAGGCAGTGATTGATGTTGAAGTGTGACGCTGAACTTTCACTCTTCGGGGGGTATTGGGGGTCAAAAGACTTTGCATGCTCTTGAAAATGGAAAAAAAAACAATCACCTGCAGAAACGTAAAACATTAATAAACAAAGCTGTATATGAAAGGGCTTTGTTGAGTGCAGTTGCATGCTCACCTTTGAAGCTGCTGTAAA